GTAAAGGATATACTTTCACCATTTACAAGTCATCTTTAAAGAAAGATAGGTTGAGATACTGTATTTGAAATACAAAGAAGAGACAAGCTAAGGTGAGCCATCAGGAAACTGTCAAATATTACATAGGGTAGAATTTGGACAGCAAAGAAAAAGTGTTTTGACTACCTGATTATAACCTTTTTAACAATGATCAACGATACATTCTGAATCGTTTAGCCAAAGTACGTTTTAAATTATCTTAAAAGTGGCCCAAATTTCAAACTTGCTTTAAAAAATTAAGCAAGAAAGACTTAAAGCTGAAAAACTCCATTCCCCATAAGAAGCACTCATTTATTCCGTTTGAAGAACCAGGCTTCTGTGTTGCTTTAATTTCAACGCACAATTGTCAATTTAAATTTTTGGTCATTATTGATATGGATAAAATTCAACCCTTAGTTTGGTCATTATTTACGAATTTGCCAAATCACAAATCTCCTTGATCAGACAGAGCCTACCTAATATTTTCAATGACTGCAAAACTTATGGAAAAAATCCCTACCTTCATTCTCTTCCTCTTTATCGCGCAAGCTGTCAGAAAAGAGACCAAACCACCAAAGAGAATGAGGATCAACATGCCTGCCGCAACAAAATATTTTGCTCGTTCGAAGATCTCTGCTCCGTATTCGCGGACTTGAGCATCACCAAGATCGATATCGAATAGAGGCAAGGCAAACAAGACCACCATCAGGGTACAGGTGAACCAGATGAGAAACACACAGATCAAGGCTTTTGTTATTGTCTTCCAGGCGAGATACCTCAAACCAAAAGAAATGGCCAAGTGCAGGTTTGTCATCATGGTCAGCATGGAGACAAGGTTCAACATCAAAAAGAGCCGATTGAGACTACTGCTGCTGATGATCGCCAGTCTTTCCTCAGAACCAACTGGTTTACCACACGTAGCTCATCGTGTACAATGGTATATTAATGACTGGGCTGAGAAAGTCCCCGACAGCGATATTGGCGACGAGAATGTTAGGAACTGTTCGTAAGGATTTAAAGAGACCAATGATCGCGAGATTAAAACCTTTACCAAGCAAGGCGGTTATAGCCAGAAGGGCTAATAACAAACTCATAGTAACCCCGGGAAACAGCGTTTTTTTCTTCGTACGTTTCTCTGTGTATTTTTACCGTCGTTGAACACGAGGTAGAACGTTTGATGTCGTGTGACAGGAAAATGAAGTGGTTCAGTGACAAATGAGCATGTAAAACAAACTGCCCATTGAAAAGTCATTTCCTGTGACAATAAAAGAGGGAAAAGAAAAGGCCAACCTTTGTTAGAATCGATCTTTTCCAGATAAATAAATTTTCAAAGAACAGTAGCACAGTAATATATTTTTAGAAGACTATCGCCATCATCAAAAGGAATCTTTTTCATGCTCAAGTTAAAGATGATGGATCCAGCTTCTTCAGCATTTCCTAGATTTATTTTAAGATATCATTATATCAATAATATCAATACTTTAAAATAGCGCGTTAGAGGAAGAAACTTTTTGATCATGGCTAATAGTTAAAATAGAATTGGAATTTATTTCGAACGATGTGAAAGATAAAAATCCTTTTTTTGGTTGTCTCTGTTGAGCACAATACTGATTTGTGATTACAATATAACAACTGCAGATCGCACTTTTGCAGCCTCAGGTATCCTTTTTATAGTATTGGCTATAATACTTCTGTATAGCCTTCGCACGGAATCAAAACTTTAATCGGACAGAAACCTTTCAATAGGTTGTCAAAATTCAATCTTTTAATAACTTCGATCCATATAATAAAAAAAGCAAGGAAATAGCAGTTAACAATCTAATTCAGTGTTAAATCATCCGAGGTGGAGGCAGGACCAACATAATGAGGCTGGAGGTCTCAAAGAGGTGAACATTTCGTGTACACCTTGCTGCTTCCGTAAGCTTATTCGGTTCCTGGACTGCAGACAAACGCCTCTTGTAGTGAATGTGATTGCGCTTCTTGAATTATGTCTTTTATCGGGCATTTAAATAAAATGCTCAGATCTTCTGGTCCATTTGAGCCGCTCCTAGTGACGCCAGAAGACGAATGTTTCCATTTGCTGCGCTTTGACAACAGCAGCTTACCGTAATATTTGTCAAGAGCATCAGGAAAGCAATTTTTAATTATTTCACATCTCCACTTGAGTCAGCAATCGTGGTTTTATCCTGGGTCTTGAGACTCAACACTAAAATATTCTTAATGATTGAAAAAGGCTTCTTGAGCCCCTAGCTAGATGTATTGACTGTGCGTGAGGGTCAAAGAGGCTGTATGTTGGCCAAGCTCACTAATTTCCATCTTAGTTTGTACTTTTAAACATATACTTCATTTGTAAGCCCGAAATGCGTAGTTTAAGCTTGTTCTTTATTATTAGATTGTTTTCAGGTGCTCTACGAGCTTGTTTTTGATTTTGTTCCAGATGAAGTAAAGATGTCAAAATAAGGGGGGGAGCCTTTGAGTAAACGTTCTGATGTGATAACTCATAAATAGGTCTCCTCCAAACGGCTTCTGAGCGGAGAGAGACCTTACCAAGGTCAAATTTTCGTACGCGAGCAGATGGACCTGTAACTAGGGAATTAGTAGGGTGATTATTTTACGCTGAGCACAAAGACTTAGCTCCTTATGATGGCAGCATTTCCCAAGACCAATAGGAAACCGGAAATAACAGTTTTTAAGTTGAAGATTTTTAGTCCTCATCCTCTTTTAAAGGAGGATGAGGTCATTGAATCAAACGATCACAACATTGGCTTCGAATTGCTCTTTTTCACTTTGAATGTCACTCCTCGCTCGCTCCTTCCATCGCATCCTTTTTAAAACTTTTTATTAAATTCACTCTCCATAAAATAAGGCTTTCGCTATTCAGTATACAAAAAAACAGTATAAACAATATCCTGCGTATTACAAATTTCCGTTTGAAAAATCTTCAATGCGATGATCATATGTTACAGGGTTTTCTCCCTGCTTCTAATAATCATTATTATGCCTCGAAACAATATACTCTTGTTACCACAAGTGTTTTCACCGATAGAAATTAAAGATTTTAAGGCGGTAGATTCAATGAGTTTTTTTTCATTTCAGGAAATCTCAGGATTGTTTGCAGGAGGTCATCGAATTTGATAAATCAGCTAATAAACTTTAACTTTAATCCAAGGTCAGATCGTAAACCATCGAAGTAATTTTGTGTATAAACTCGATTTTTTATTTAGCTCCAACGGTAGCATTTAAAGGCCCGTTTAATCGGCTTCAGCATTTAACCAACATTCGTGCAACAAAAGTTTAACGGATGTTGGGCAAATGTTGGACGCAAAAACAAATTTGTGCGCAGGCCTTACAACGGCTATACAAAGGCCTCACAAAGGAAAAGTTGAATCCATGTTCAATGAAAGTTTAAACCGATTTAGACTTGAATCAACACGCTTTCAACAAGCCTCCAACAAGCTTCAACATTATTATCTTTTCAACAATGCTGGACGACCTGTTCAAACGCAATTAACATTTGGCTCAACAAAGTGTTGAACTGTAAAAGTCAACTCTTAAAATAAAGATATTTATGTTAAAGGTGAAAACTCGGTTAATCCCGAGGTGTTTTTGGTCTCACTTCGTGAGGTTTCTTGGAAAAGGATAAGATTGAACCGATGATTTGAGTAATTTCTCGGCAGGCTCGAGTGAATTTGTACTGTGCCGGTAACGACACTGTGCCGAAGTGAAATGAAGTCAGCAGTTCCTGCTTATGATGCTGTAAACTGCTAACGCTTGAGGGACTCGAGTTGACAAAACTCATGCGCTAAGCGAATATCTACTACGACCTTCAACAGGGGTCTTATTTCATCAAGCTTCGCCGAAAGAGTACAACAGCGCACAAGACCAAACTTCCCATTTTTCCCTAACGAAAACTCAAAACGCTCTTCATATTACTCAAACAGAAAAAAAAGTTTCCCAGGACTGAACCCATCGACCAATTAATTCAAACGAATTCGGTTCAGTTGCCAACATCAACACT